AACTGAGCCAGTCAACGTGAGGCCCTATCGCTATGCTCACTTTCAGAAAGAAGAAATCGAACGACAGGTTAGCGAGATGCTAAGGTTAGGTCTAATTCGGCCGAGCTCAAGCCCGTTCTCATCCCTGGTTCTCTTAGTAAAGAAGAAGGACGACACCTGGCGATTTTGTACTGATTATCGAGCCCTGAACAAGGTTACTGTTAGGGATCGCTTCCCCATTCCCACGGTTGACGACATGCTTAATGAGCTTCACGGGTCTCAGTACTTTTCAAAGCTCGACCTACATGCAGGGTATCATCAAATACCCCGGTGAGCAGAAGATGTGCATAAAACAGCCTTCCGAACACATAGCGGGCACTACGAGTACCTCGTCATGCCATTCGGTCTGTGCAACGCACCATCGACATTTCAATCGGCAATGAATGATATCTTCCGACCCATCCTCCGCAAGTACATGCTGGTTTTCTTTGGCGACATCTTAATCTACAACAAGGACTGGGCGACACACCTCAGTCATATCAAGGTCGTCTTAGACATCCTGCACCAGCACCAGTACTATCTCAAGAAGTCAAAATGTGTGTTCGGTTTGCAACGACTGGAATACTTGGGGCACATTATCTCATCAGAAGTGGTCCACGTCGACGATTCGAAAATTAAGGCCATGATCGAATGGCCCGCACCAAAAAATGTAACCGAGCTCCAAGGGTTCCTTGGTTTAACTGGGTATTACCGAAAATTCGTCAAGGGATATATCTCTCTTGCATGACCCCTAACCAGGTTGCTTAAGAAGGGTGGGTTTGTATGGAGCGAGGAAGTCGCAGAAGCTTTTGAAGGCTTGAAACAAGCAATGACCACCACACCCACGCTGGCGATGCCGAATTTCTAGGAACCCTTTGTTATCGAGGCGGATGCGTCAGGAAAGGGGATAGGAGCAGTGCTATCACAGAATGGGCAGCCCATCGCTTATATGAGCTGTCTCCTTGGACCCAAGAAGGAATCATGGTCAACATATCAAAAGGAGATGCTAGCGGTCATTATTGCGGTACAACAATGGAGACCTTACCTGCTCGGCCGAACATTCCACATATTCGCCGACCAGCAAAGCCTCCGGCACCTGCTTGAACAACGTATTACCACCCCTGACCAACACAAGTGGGTAGCAAAACTTATGGGATACGATTTCAAGATCCATTATAAGCCCGACTTGGCTAACAAAGCCGTCGACGGACTCTCAAGACGGGCGGGATCGGCATACCTCCAAGGTATCACACGAACGGAAGCCACGCTATGGGAAAAGTTGCGACAGGCGGTGGTGAGCAATCCTTACTTAAAGGGTCTACGTAATAAGGCACTATCGGATGACCCTGGGGACGATGAGGGTTGATTATTTGCAAGGGGCACATCATTTTGCCTCCTCATTCATCCTTGGTAACTACGGTTCTCAAGGAGTACCATGATTCCACGGCAGGAGGGCATTCCAGGGTAGAACGAACCATGTGGCGGCTAAGTAGTCATTACTATTGGCCGCAAATGTCTAGGGCTGTGCGCGACTACATTCGATTGTGCGATATCTGCCAACGAGTTAAGGTGGCCAGGCTTCTACCGGCAGGCTTACTTCAATCGTTACCGATTCTAAGTCAAGTATGGGAGGAGGTATCCATGGATATTGTGGAGGGATTGCCAAAGGCAGCAGGCAATTCAGTTTTGTTTGTCGTGGTTGACCGCTTGACTATATACGGTCACTTCATGGCTCTCAGTTATCCTTATTCGGCCAAAACCGTGGAGAGGCTTTCATTGATGGGGTTATTCGGCATCATGGGATACCAACAACTATTGTAAGTGACCGTGACAAAGTATTTTTGAGCAATTTTTGGAAGGAGATTTTTTTGCAGTTTGAGACAAGGTTGCTCATGAGCACGTCCTACCACCCGCAGACATACGGTCAAACTGAAGTCGTCAACCGATGTTTGGAGCAGTATTTGTGTTGTTTTACGCAGCAACATCCATGGCGATGGCTAGCATTGCTTCCCTAGGCTGAATTTTGGTACAATTCCACGTACCATTGCACGATAGGAACCTCCCCATTCCGAGACCTCTATGGTTGTGAACCACCAACAGTCATTCCATATCATGTGCAGGCCAACCCAGTAGTAGGAGTCGATGAGTTATTACGCGAAAGAGATGCAGCCTTGGCTAATCTGCGGAAGAACTTGGCGGCAGCTAACTTGAAAGCTCAGAAACTAGCTGATGCTAGCAGGCGAGACGTGACGTATGCGGAGGGGGAGTGGGTTTTGCTGAGCCTCCATCCGTATCGTCAGTATACGGTCTTTAAGCGGGCATCTCAAAAACTTGCTGCACGGTATTTCGGGGGGATGGGATTAGGTGCTAATCCTTATAGGGGTTAGCACCATGATAACTAGCAAAAAACGCTACTAAAAACAACGAAATCACTACGGATTATTATAAAATCAATACAACATCTAAGCTAAATCACTACTAACTCTTGGTTAGGACGGTGCTAACTCTTGTACAATTAGCACCGTAACCGCTCCCTATTTCGGGCCCTACCGTGTTAATTATCGATCGATCGGATAAGTATATGTATTAATTATATATATATATATATATATAGTGAAGTAGTATAGGATTGCACCGCCAACCATTTCATTTATATATATGAGTCTTTCTTTTTCCTTCGGTTCCATTATCTCATTTCCATAAACCGAAGAACAGAGAGCAGGAACAGGGACGTACGGAGGAAATCGACGAGCTTGATCCTCTGGTTCTAGTGATCCAAAATTTGAGCTTTCATTAGGTAATCTTTCTATGTAGCTTAGTCATCGTTTTCTTGGCTTATAACTGAGTTTTCGGGCAATAAATTCTTGATTCTCCAATCGTAGGGATTAGGGCTTTAGAAGGTCCGGAAGCTGGATTAAGTCCAAATTTCATATACGAGCTATCTGCGGTGAGGTAATGAATTTTCTGGTTTCTAACCTATGAATTTTGGCAATTATTTATGTCGGGATCCAAGTCGCTGAATTTAGCTCCGGCCAGGGTTTGATGTGTTTTTATCAAGAATTTGACCCGGAGCCTAGAACTAATATTGACGGGGATACTGCAAGGGCTATTAGGACGGTCTCGGATTTTAATTCGGGGTTCGTTCGTGAAATTGACGTTTTAGTACGGGAGGCTAGAACTGGTGTTTGAACTACCAGAACTGGTGAGGGATTAGCACGGCATACCGGGTTTGTCGTATCACGATAATTATATTGATGCTTAGAATTGACATAGGTGAATTAGAATGGCATGATTAGGGGTGTATGAACTTTTATGCTATATGATGAACCATGGATTGTTGTATGATATTATTAACTTGCCCTAATCGATATGGACCTTGTTTATGCTGATGATTGTTTATATGTTGCAAATTGTGAGCTTGACTGTTAATATGATCTATGATGGTTCGAGAAGGTGATTAGGTATGATTTTCATGATTGTTGTATTTGGATGCACAAGTGGGAAAATATATATTCCCTGGTGACATTATGATGTTTAAGGAGGATGACTTGCACGAGGGTTTATCCCGAGGAAGTGCAATTATACGACTCCTGATTTACCTATGTTGAGCCAATTATGGTAAGGTCAAGTACATGTGCAAGTAACGAATTGTGATTAAGCAAGATGAGATATGAATCATGTATAAGGCTACCAAATAGGAGTGTTGTGGTCTCACGGTCAACTACATAGTCATTAGGGCTCCCTATGCTATTACTCTATTATGATATGTATGATAGTCACACCTCTCATGTGGTGGTGACTGAAGAATTCTTACGAGATATGACCACACCCAGAGCGGTGTCGGGGTATGACTACACCCATAGTGGTGTGGGGTATGTTTGACCACATCCGACGGGATGTTGGGGTATGTATGACTACATCCGACGGGATGTGGGGTATGTTGCCCGGGAGAGTTATTAGCATGGGAGTAGCCAGGCGCTTATAAGTAAAACATGATAAGATGCATATGCATAAGTCAAGGTGGTTGAGTCTTTTGCCTATTGGGATGTCGGATGGCTGAGGTCTGATCCTAGTTTTTTGGCTTGTTTGCTAGATGTATCATGTATGGTAGGGGTATGCTCTGTTATGAACTCACGATGCTATGATTATCTCACTCAGCTATGAGCTGACCCTCTTTTATTCTTCTTCTCTGCTTATGCTATGTGTAAGTAGATCATCAACAGCAGCAGTAGATAAGTGTTAGGTGGGAGAGGAGCTAGAGTTGAAGCCAGGATGAGGTATGGTCTTCAACTATTCTGTGCTTGGACTACTACTCGGGATTTTGGCCAGTGATCAACAACTTTTTGTAAAAATATTTTGAGAACGTTTTTCATGTGCGTACTAGCTTCTGATGTAGCGTGAGATATCCACAGGTGTGGAAAGTTGATGATATGTGTATATTGTGTAATTATGAAAGTTGTGATGATTATAGCATGTATCAGTATAGTATGCAGTTGTGTAGTATGAAACTGTGACTATGGCTATAAAAAGTCAATACATATGGTTGTGAGTATATATGTTTGTGATGAATTATTTTGCAGGGTAAGTTGCAAGAACTGCTAGCCCATTACGCGAGTAATTCATGACAAAATTTTATTTGGGGAAATTTTGATAATTAATGTAACACCCGAGACTAATTCCGCTGCAATTGTATGAACAATATGATTAGGCAAAACGTACAGGGTAGGGTGTTACACACCGCGAGGGGAACCAGGTCCAACTGCCGACGAGACCGAGGTAGCAGACGAGGACGTGCATGGGCCACGACAGTCGAACCGCCGACCCAAGCCCAACCCGCGGTTCACGGACTAGCTCGTCATTATCATTATTGTTGTCTTGAGGAAGTTGGTTTCCTAGTTTGCTTTAGATTTGGACTATTTCTTTCTTGCACATTATGGATAAGGATTGTAGAAACTCTATATAAGTTTATCATTAATAATAAGATGGAGAAGATTGGAACCCAGAATTAGCTCTTATTTCCTTAGTTCGTAGAAACCCTTCCATTCCGCATCAGGGTTATAACCGAATCCATTAGTTCATTCTCCCTTTCATAATCATTCAATTCGTAGTCAGACTTTTGATTCCAAAAAAATTCAGATCTGTATATCATTTTCAAATCCATAAATAAATATTAGTTTCTTTTTTTCCCCTAGTTCGATCTCCCCAACCATAAAGAGTAAGATTTGGAGAACCTCACCTAAATCGTCTTCCTCAAACCCTGCATAAAATTAAATATGCAAATCAGAACAAAAAAACAAAGAGATTATCAAAATAAAAAGAAAAAGTCCTCACCCTCTGCTAGTGTCTCCTTCGCCTAGCTTCCCTAGATCCGACCCTCAAAACCCAGAAGGAAAAATATTAGAATCCAGACATTAACAAAAAAACCAAAACAAAAACTTATCATGCAAATAACAACCGCACCTAGGACTCGTCGTTGAGTACGGAGTAATCTCATTGCCGGCGTTTTCTTCTTCTTCTTCTCCTCGTCCATAACCAAAATCCAGAAATCAAACACGAAAAAAAAAATTAAAAAGGAAGGCCAGAATCCCATTGAAAACTGAATGAAAAATCAGAAAATAGAAATGAGAAGCCATGCATATCTGGATTTTACCTGGATCTCATTCTTTCTTTGCCAAACGCTCCAGTTCTCAGTCGCCGCCGGCAAAAATCACCCTTCATTGTCGGCGACCCCCTTTTCTTCTCCCTTGTCCGAAACCAAAACCCAAAAGCTAGGTCAGAAACCAACCAAAAATAGAAGTCCCCAAAAATGACATGCAACTCCAAATACCCACCTCCGCCGCCGTCATCGCCTCTGGCGTTGGAACTCACTCTCATCTTCTTCGGAATGGGAGAGATCGCTTCGTTTCTTACCTTTCTCTCTCTCCTCTCGTCAATCCCCCATAGAAGTAAGGAAATTTTAGATTTTGCTCGTCTTTTTTGCAGGCGAAAAGGGGAGATCGGGATGGTTTTGCATTCTCTCTTCCTTTTCTGTTTTGCTCGTTTCTGGAGAAGATTAGAGAGTGAGGTTGATGGTTGATTGAAAGAGAAAAGAAGGGTGCTGGCCCTTCTCTGTTTTTTTTTTTTTTTTGGTTCGTATCAGGAAGGGGGAAGAACGGAAGAAGGTAGATTCGAAAGAGGGAGAATGGTTTTCGGATTTGTTCTTCGTGTGTTGTTTGTTTGTTTTTTTCAGAAAGATGAAGAAGAAAAATAATAGAGAGAAGAGAGGGTGAGCGGCGGCGGATTATTAGGATTAGACGGATTAGGGTTTCTCATAGTTGGTTATAAACCCGATGGGTTAAAATGACCAAAATGTCCTTAGGGTTTCACAATTATTACTCAGCCCTGCCACCGCGTTTTTTGAGGACTTATGGAAATACCCCTCCCCCGTCTCTGAATTAAAAACGACGGATTATTACTGTTGTGACCGAGTTTCGAACCCTCGTCACCCGAAATCAATTGCACACTCCAAGCAGTGAGTTAACCAGTTGGGTGTTGGCCCATCATACGTTAATTTAACCATCCCGTTCAATTTTATTCGTTTAAAGTCCTTAATACGAAATGTTGAATGCGTATTAAGTTAGTTTTGCTTCTTTTGTGATACATCAAATTTCTTCCTAATAATTAAAATTCTTACTTTCATTTTAGCAACCTCATAATAATCTAAATGAAGTTCTATAACAAAATTATAATACGAAAATCAAGATTAGTGGAACGTGATTACAATTAAATTATCAAAGTTCAAATTTGATCCCGTATTACGAGTACGTAGGCAACCGATAAGGTTCGAGTCCAGCTAACCAATTAACTTTATCTTTTAATTTTTACGTTAGTGGGCATATAATTAAATTACAACTAATACGATTTAAATTCTTTAGTGGTCCGGTAAGGTCCTAAAAATACTGAAAATACCTAATAATAAAATAATACGATAAAATTATTCAATGATCCAGTGGGACCCTAAAATTACTAAATTATTACTAAAAATACACCCAACTAATATAAAACTTATCAAACTTATGTAGTACCGATTTAGGGCGTTGTGGGGTGGGATTTCACTTTTCCACACGTAACCGTACTCCCGAACCTAGATTTCTATATTTCTAATTCGCAGACCAAGCCCCGGTTCTGACCTAAGGTTAGAACCGACCTACGAGTGTTCGATCCACTCCAAGTAAGATTGATGATGACTCCCAAAAAGCGAACGCGGCGACCCCAAACCCGGGAGGGACGATTGCGACATTAAGCATCCTACACAAGCACAAACACACACCATACATTGAAATAATCATCATATACCGCTCATTGGGAGGAAAAGAAATCCCCCCCCCCCCACACTTGTTTTTCCACCATGGCTAAAACATTGAAGCTCAAACCACCGTGGCATGGTTGTGGGTATTTCACGGTTCAAGCACACAAAAAGTTGAACAACCTCCACTTCCATTCATAACATAGCTCTTGCTGGCCAAATTCTAAAAATAAGCACAATTTGATTCAAACACGCCCACCAAGGCTCACTAAGTTCATGCAATAATCAATCCATCAATCACACGACCTAATTCACCTAAGTCCTCGCCCTAATTCTAGGTTCAATCATGCAAAGCACAAAAATTCACCTCACTTCACTACGTAATCCGATTCTCCACAATTCACAAAGGTAGAGTCAAAAACAAACCTGGAGACACAAGTGGGGCGTAGGGGGAAGTGAGGTGCAGGCGAGGACGGTGAAAAACGGTCGGAAAACTGACCGGAGAGGCGTCGCCGGAGCTTCGTCGGAAGCTCGCCGGAGACTCGCCGCCGGTGACATGGCCGGAAAAATGCTCCAAATCTCCCCAAAATCTCAGCACAGGCCGGTTTTGAGGAGAGGAGGCTGGGTATGATGTTGGTTTTGGGTTTTGCTCGCCAGAAATGGGGAAAGATCGAAAAATGACGGGTTTTCATGTTTTTCGGCGAAGATTTGAATTTTCCGGCGAGAATTTTGGTCGTGAAGTGAAGGGTCGCCGTTCATGCCCCTTTTATAGGCATAGCCTTGAGTTCACGAACGCGTTGCCCAGTTCACGGTCTTAGCGACCGTGAACTCGTAAATGCGTCCGTGAACACGGAGTGGTTGACAAGTGGTGAAAATGCATCAGCACCCGGTTCACGGACGCGTTTGCCTGTTCACAGTCTTACCGACCGTGAACTCATCAATCAGTTCGTGAACTGAAGTGAAAACAGGGCACTTCTATAAAATTTTTGACTCAACCCATTCCTCCGTGCCTCCTAATCGATAACAACACAACCATAAACCGCAAAATCACAACACTCGGCATGGGGACACCACTTCACCACTCGAACCCTTCACAAGACACTAAAACGAAAACTAAGGAAAAGAAAATAAACCTCCGTTGGGTTGCCTCCCAACAAGCGCTTGTTTTTCGTCATTAGCTTGACGGTTGGACATCAATCATGACTGCAAACGTGATGCCACCGAGAGCGGATCCACCACACTCTCGGGGTGAGGCTTGTAGCATCTCATCTTAGGCTCCTTGAGTTGGCCCTCTTGGTTGGCCAACATTGCCTCCGCCTCCCGCGTTTTCCAGGTCAAAGCTCGCTTCATCCTTCTTCTCCAAGCATTCAATCTTGGTCCATTGGGCTTAAGACCCTTCTTAACTTCCTGCTCAACATCATCAAAGACAACACAAGTAATGGTGGGGTTTGCCTTGAGAGGCTCTCCTCCACTCTCATTCACATCATTTGAAACTACCCCCTTCACTTCATCACTCCTAACCCTAGGATCAATTTCAAGCATGATTCTCTCCTTACCATCCCTCAAAATTAGGGTTCCCTCATTAACGTCTATCAATGCCTTGGCGGTTGCAAGAAAGGGACGACCGAGGATGAGGGGCATATCCGAGTCCTCACTTATGTTGAGAATCACGAAATCGGTCGGATAGCAAAACTTGCCCACTCTCACCATCATGTCCTCCACTATACCTCTCGAGCTAATGATCGAACGGTCGGCTAAGGTGATGCTAAGCTTAGAGGTCTTAAGTTCACCTACTTCTAACTTTTTGAAAAGCTTGTAGGGCATCACATTCACACTGGCTCCTAGGTCCGCCAAGGCATTGTCTATATGGTGATCACCAATATCAAGAGGGATAGTAAAGCTACCTGGGTCAGACCGCTTTTTGGGCAAGCAGTCGAGGAGGAAAGTTGAGCACTCCTCGCCAAGAGTCACGTTGGCGAGGCCTTCAAGCTTTGGCTTCTTGATGAGGAATCCTTTGAGGTACTTGGCATATCTTGGCATTTGCGCCATGGCTTCGAGGAACAGGATGTTGAGGTGGAGGTTGCGTAGCATTTCCATGAACCCTCCACACTCGTTGTCCGACCTCTCCTTGTACATCCTTGTGGGATAAGGAAGAGGTGGCATGTATTCATTCTCCGGCAATGCCTTCCTTGCCGCTTCCTCTCATTCCTTGAGGGCTTCTTCTCTCCCTTTTTCGGGGTGGCTCCTATCTTGCTGCAGTCCCTTTCATTGGTTACACTTGGCCATTGTTAGGTGTTGTGTCATAGCGAGTCAGAACTCTAGCTTTTAGAGGCTGCATTCATGGTGAAGAGACGTTAGGGATTGAGAGAATAAGCATGCACATTTTTCGCATTAAATTGTCCTGACCCCACTGGTCGAGAGTGAGCGATTCATATTCTCATTTTCTCTATACTCTTTATCCCGGTGAGGACCTAGATTGCTCGGTTTTAATTCTGATATCTTGAGCTTTTTGCATGAAGTGACTGTTTTGAATAAGTGGTTGAGTCAAGTCTATGTTGGTTGGTGAACAGAAGGGAACTCTTCCTTTGCTCGACTTTATTGCATTCGAATGTCATCTGGATTGGTTGTCTAGGTTGTCATTGGAGTTACCATGTGTTAATGATCGAAAGCCAGTATGATCCACGTGTTTTGTGCCGTATGATTTGCCCTAAAGCCTGCTTGATTGAAACGTTTTGAGCTTACCTGGTGTCTGACTTGGTTTGCTTGGGGACAAGCAAACGGTTAAGTGTGGGGGAATTTGATAACGATGAAATTTTACATGTTTGCACCCCTAGTTCTTACCCGTTTGTGGGGCATAGTCGTGTATTTTTGGCCTATTTTACGCCGGGTTGTGCTACTTTGTCACATTTCAGGTCCCGGACGTCGAAGGAAAGGCTAAGCACGAGTTTCGGGGCATTTGGAAGTCATTCGGTCGAGCTGGAGCCAAAGCACGGTCACGCCTAAATCAAAGCACGGCCGTGTTCCTGGACCGTGTTTTTACTGCCGAGGCTTCATCCACGTTTGTCTTACATTAGCTCAAAACACGGGCTGGACTGCCCCAAAACACGGCCGTGTCCATTATCAACCACGCCCGTGTTTTTAATACGTGGCAAGGCACGGGCGGGCTGGAGCAAAGCACGGTCGTGTCCTCGACCGTGTTTTGCCCAGTGATGCCCTTTTAGGCAGATTTCAGCCAAAAGAGAAGGGGATTCGAGTTTTAGAGAGACATAGCGATTCTTAGAGAGAGAAAGTGACGAACAAGAGTTCCCAAGTGCCCTAGCTTGATCTTCATCACCATTGGAGCTTGGCTTGAGCTTGGAGGAGTGCCGATCAACATCCAAGAGCATAAATCCATCCTTCACAGTATGATTTCCGCGTCTGAATCTGCTTTTGCTTCTTTTTCCATGGAGTAGTTCTCCCATTCATCTGGGTATGGGAAACCCTAGATTTGTATGTTAGGTTTGATTGTATGAACCCAAGTACTGATTCTATGATTTAATTATATTCAATTGAGGTTTGAATGATTGAATGGCATGAATCCTGATCAAATTCCTGTTGTTTCTGCTTTAACCTAGAATGAGAATATCTGCCTAGGTTGATAGAGCACCCTTGATTGAAGGTAGGGAATTCGTGACTTTAGCCGAGGAGCCAATTCACTATTCTGTACCGAATTCACTTCGGTAGTGGAGGTTTTGTTCGTTAGGGCCTCAATCTGTTTACTCCGGTGGAGGTTAGTCGCCCGCTAGAGACTCAGATTGAGAGGGTCTGGAGACCTTTAGTCGAGACTTCAGGCTGTTTAAGA